CCGTATTAAGTAAGGCTCTTAAGTAAATTTTATATTTATTAAATACTAATATAAGCTTTATTTTAAAGGGCTAGCCCCTTATAAAATCTTATAAGTTTACTAAATTAATTATTAATTTTCTATCCTTTTTATATATATCCCCTAGCTAGGAGTTTACTTTTACTAAGGGTTTTAGTTTTTTAAACCCGATTCTATTTTAATAAGGTTTATAATAGCGTTAACTATAGCTACGGTAGTTTTTAACTTTTTAAAGTAATCTTTAAAAATATATTTAGTATTATTATAAACGAAGTAAGTATTACTATTCTTAAGTTTTTAATATAGGGCTTTGGGAATCGTTTTATAAATAAAAATACGACCTTAGTTTTATTTAGTACTTCTAGTACCTCTATTATTTCTGCTATTTTTATTATTTTTATTACTTCTACCCGAGGTCTAATAAGCCTAGTTAAAAGCTTTAACCGGGCAGTCCTCTATAAAAGGGGGCTATATTACGTTAACTAACTAAATAATATACTTAGTATATTTCTAAAAAGTAGCTATATTATTTAAGTATTTTAATATAGCCTAGTTACGAAAATATATAAGTAGCTTATTATAAAAATAGCACTTTTATTAAGACTTTAAAAGCTTATTAATATACGCGAGCTTAGTAAATATAAAGCGCTTTTAGTAAACGTTTTTAAATATAATTATAAATATATCTAGTTTATAACTAGCGTTATTTATAGTAATTAGGCTAATATAAGCTAACTTAAGCTCGTAAAGTAATTACTTAGCTATAGTAATCTCGTTAGAAATTAGTATTAAATATATAAACTCCGTAATACTATTTTTAATTTTATTAATAATATATTTTAAGTAGTACTTATTTATATTATAATTAATATTCTCTAAGCGTTTCGTAATATATTAAAACTAATAATTAAACTTAAAGCTAGTATTATTATTTATAAAAATAAGTACGTTAAGTATTTTTTAAGAGCTATAAGTAGCGGGATAGGACGAGGTTAAAGTAGTTTTATAACTATTTTATATTTCTAAGCGCGCTAGTTATTATTTTAATATACTAAGAATAGCGGTATTTTAAATAGAGCTAGTTTAGGAGCCGTTTTTTAATTACTTTAATTTCTTAATTATAGCCGTATTACTAATATAAGCTTAGGTAAGAGCTTTTTTTATAATATAGAGCTCTATAATAATAATATATATAAAGTCAAAGTTCTTATAAGTTATTATATATAAGTACTTAGTACCCCCCCGACGGAGTAATCCGCCGGGGCCGTATCGTATATTACGTATTAAGGAAAACTAAGTATATTGCGCTCTATACCTAACTATTAATTAAAATAGCTCCCGACCTTCCCCCACCCGTTTAGAGGGCGAGCTATACCTATTTTAACGTATATAAAACCTCTTAATACTAACTTACGTAAGTAGCTAGATCCCGTATTATATACTCCTTTTTGTTAAAGGTTAAAGGGCCCCTTATATATTCTCTTATATCTATAATATAGCCTATATTAGAGGGATTTTTAACTCTATAAAGCATAATTTCTAAGCTAGTGTTAATATATTAGATCTTAATATTTATATTAGCCCGGTTATTTATAGCGTTCGTATTATTACTTAGCCAGATTCCGTATTATTAAAAAGTACTTTACTACTTTTTAAATATACTTATGTTAGTTATAATAGTTATAGCGTCGAGCTAGTTAAAAAGGGCGCCTAGCTTAAGAGGGGTAGACTTATTAACGGGCATCTTTAGCCTACTAATTACTAACTATATACTAAGAGAGTAGGTTCTTATTAAAGTAGTATTTTAACTAGCTAACTTCTTAACTAGTTATCTAACTAGCTATTTAGGTAGTAGTTTATATATTAATAGGTTTGTTTAGTAGATTTATTTAGTAGATTTGTTTAGTTTAAATAAAGAGTAGCTTTAGGTAATATTAAAAACGATAAAAATAGAAAGAATCTTTACGAGCTTTAATACGTAAATATTAGCCTATTTAGCCCTTTTTTTAAAAACCTCTACGTTACTATTAAAGTTTAGAACCTTTGCGGTTAAGGAAGGCCGCCTCTAACTATTACGGCCGACTATTATAATTAATTATTACGGCCGACCTTTATTATTAACCTTTTTAACCAGCACTACCGCAGGGCAGCTTACTTATCCCGAATTATATAGTAGTTTTTATATTAAAATTACTATATTACGTTAAGCGCGTACTTAGGGTATATTGCGCGTATTATATAATTAAAAAGTATACTATATTATATAATTTCTTTTAAAAGCGTAATCCCGTTAAGGTCGATCTTTTACGCTTATAAAACTAGAAAAAAACCACTATATAAGTACTTAGTACTATTACTTAGCTAGTTAATAATAGAGGCTAGGACTTATTTTAATTAGTACTAAATAATACGTATTTTTAGCTACTATTCGATCTATTTAAATAAAGTTTTTTTATTATTTTTAAAATATAGTTTTTAAATAAAGTCGAGGTTAATATACTACTTAGTATTCTTTTTAAAAAGGATATTATTATAAATATAAATAAGTAAAATAAGCTAGTTAGCTACGTTATTAAGATATACTAAGTAATTAGCCTAAGTAATAAAAAGTAAAAAGCGCTCTATTAATTAGTTAAATAGCGCAACCTTAGGGTTAATAACTAAGAACTTAGCGCCTTTATTAAAGCTTATAATACTTTATTAAAACTTATAGAAGTAGCGACTTTATTAAAAGCCGTTAGTATAAAAAGAGACTTAGCCTCTTTAGCTATATCCTCTAATTATTATATTTAATAAAGAGGGTATATACTTAGGAAGTATTAATTATACTACTTATATATAATTAATTTAGTTAGCTATTACTTAGCTTTTTTATATACTTTTTTAATAAGAGTAACTAATTAAAATAATAAATAATTAATTAATTAAAATACTATTGTTCTATTTTTAAAAAATAGTTAATTAAATAACGTTAAGTAATATTATAAAAAGGATTTTAAAGTAAGTTAGAACGCTATTATATTAACTTAATTAACTAAAAACTTAATATAAAGAGGGAAAAAATAAAATAGTAAGTAGAAGTTAATAGGCTAGCCCTTTAGGCCTAGCGGTCTAGCTCGTTATATAATTACTAGGAGCTTAGCCTCGTAGCCTAAGGCTGAGCTATAGGGCCCATAGGGCCCTAGTGCCCACTGCCGTAATACTTTAACTTTTAATAAGAAGAAGTATATGATATAAGATTTAGTTACTTATATAAGCTAGTACTAAGAGGTCTTATATACGTTAGAATAAGTATATTTCGCTTTTTAAATAAATAAGGGAAGGTTAAGAACTATTTTAATTAGTAGTTAAGTATTTGTTTTTTTTTATTCTACCTTTATTAGTTACTCGGGCGGTTCTTAATATCGATTACATAATATTAATACATAGTATTAATAGATACTCCTACTATCTCGATAGACTATTTTTTTTTAAATTTTCTAACTTTTCAACTTTCCCTCCTACAAAGTTCACAACCACGGATCATTAACTTAGTAGTTAAGTATAAAGCGCAATATACCTAGTTTTTTTTAATACGTAATATACGGTACGGCCCCGGTAGATTGCTCTATCGGGGGGTTATAACTTAGTATATTTAGAGTACTTAATATACTTATACTTTTCCTTAGTATAATCTTTTATCTAATATTAATAAGTCTTAATTAAGTTTAAATTTAATAAAAAAGGCTATAAAATAATATAAATATTATATTTTATAAACTTATAATAAGTTAATTTAATTAAATAACTTAGAGCATTATTTTATATAAAAATAAGATTTTTATTACATAATTAGTTATATAATTAAACTTAATTATTAATAAGTAAAAAAGTATATTATTAATAAGTATTAATATTAATAAACCCCTACTTGGATCTTAAAATACTCTTAGGTTTTTTTAATCCTTAAGAAAGTATTTTTTAAAATATTTAGCTTTATTTATATTATCACATTTTAATTATATAATTTAGATTCTATTCTTTATTCTAATATTTAATTACGTATTATTTTTAATAATTATTACTAATAGCTTATATTTTATCTATTTATAATACTTATTTTCATTATTTAATAATTTAATTAAAGTATTTATGTACTTAAATAAGATATTTTTAATAAATATAGAGCTTCTAATGGGCTATATAATACTTAAACTCGAGGTAATAAAGTTTAATTTAAATAACGTAAGTACTAAATTAGTTATTAAAAAGATTTAAAATAAGAAAAAAAAGTAACGAACTAGCCCTATTTTTTTTTAAAAAAAAAGTAATATAATTAACGAGCTTTTATTTCTATTAAGCTAAAATAAACTTAAGACCGGCCCGGGTATAGACTAATTATAATAAACTCTATATAAATTATTATATAAATTTAAATACTAATTAAGTTAATAATTTAAATAATTATTAATTATAAAGACTTTATAGGAAAGTTAAAAAGAAGGAAAGATGAAAAATTATAAAAATAGTTTATTAAGATAGTAAGAATATCTATTAATATTATATCTTAATATTATATGTACGATATCGAGAACTGCCCGAGTAGTTAGTAAAGGCAGGATATTAAAATAAATAAAAGCTTTATATTAAAGTAAAGAGTTCGAATTTACTATTTTATAGCCTTTTTGAGCTATTTTATATTAATATTTTTAGGTCGTATTATATTATAAGAATTATAATAGTTTATTATACTATAATCGAAGTAGAAGTTAGAAATAGAAGTTAAAAATAGAAGTAATAAGTAAATATAGTAAAGAAAAAAGTAGAATATAGAAGTGGGTATGGGTAGGGGAAAAAAGTAATACGGTTGGGTGGAAGTGGGTAGAAGTGGGTGTGGGTAAAAGGGAAAGAGTTGAATAAGTGGGCCCGAGTCCGGTTTGGTGGCCTCTTATTGGGCGAATTACCCTGGGAAGGTCTGCCCTATAGGTACTTGACGGGGGGTTTTACTTTTGCCTGCTACCGCAGTAGTGATTCTCGTCGGCCATGTTATCGTCAAAGCTGTACTTCACAGGAAGGAAGTCAAGTTCGTTGTTGTAGATCACCGTAGCGACGTTTTGCTTCCTACCAGTGAAGTCGATAGTCGCGGTCTTTCCAAGTTGGGCAAAGTCTACGACCCTTCCAGGAACGAATTTCCCGGTCGAGATGTAATAGATCCTCTTGGGAGTGATCTGATACTTTTGGTTCGGCTCGGCTCGCCAGACGGAGACTGGCAAGACTTCGCCCTGGTCTGGAGTCGGACTCTTCATACCGAGGCCACAGAAGGCGTGCTCTAAATTTTGTTTCAGCAGCATACACACCATACGATTGTGGATCAACCAGAGGTCAGAAGCGACCTAGAGGGGGAGGGGGAGAGAGAGAGAGAGGAGAGCTCACCATACTTGGTCAAATCGTAAGCGGCTGTGTCGATTCCGAAAGAACCATCCTTTTCCAGTTCTCCTATCTTGTTCTTATCGAAGACGGCACCTCCCTCTTGAATATCCAGCCACTCGAGTGTGCCCTTTCCCGTCTTGGTTCCTAGCTTCACCTCGTCCCAATCCGACGTTCTCATAATCAGATCGGTACGCAAAGACTCGGGGGTCATGCCGCACACGGCATAGTAGTGCTCCTCGATAGAGAAGTGAGTTGTGCCGTGCTTGGCTCCCGTGCCGGGCGAGCGGCCCCAGACGTTGGTCCAGGCCTTGCCGACTGACTCGGAGTACGTTGGCTTCTCGTTGAAGATGAGAAACTGTTGGACCTTGTCGCTCTCGTTCTTCACGATGATCTTGACGTTGGCCATGATAAGAATTAGTTGATAGTGTAGGTGTCTTTTATAGAAGATTGTTGATTGGAAACTCAGGAGATGGACTTGATGGAAGATGGAGGATGCGAATTGTGAATTGAGCGAGGTCCAAAGAGCCTTCAAATATCCATTCTTTTTTGTCTAGTACAGTTTTGTATGCCTGTATGTCGATATCGTAGACCTTCTGTGGGTGTATAGTATCGATTGAAAGCCTTGATCGCAAACATCTCACGTATGGGCATTTAGAATGCATGCATCGGATACTAGCCTTGCTCAGCCTATATCTAGGCACACGAGCAAACTCAGCCTCGGACACAATGCGCAGACATGCCTAACAATCACATCTCGCAATGAGACAGAGTTGAATTGAGGATGCATACAGCAACACTCTCAGCTAGCCACAATGTGATGGGAACAAATATGGCCAGACAGAAGTCGAGTGTCAGGTGTAGGGTCAACCGGTGGATGGATGCAGGCTAGACAGTCTGAAAACAGTGACAGTAGGATCTTTCAGCTCGGCATACCACTTATAGTTTTCATGAGGCCACTGGCAGCGAGCCGGTCTAGTTCCGTACGACACTTCGAAGCTCTTGGGAAACAACGCATAGTAAATGTCTCGGAGCAGACCCCCCATACTGCGGATGTAGTGCCTAAAAACCCGTGTATGTATGTCTGACTCGCTATTGTATCTTCTGCTTCAGGATTGTACAATAAGGTACTAAGATCACATCGTGATAGTACCTCATTCTGAGGCGAACCTGAACCATCAGAACGCGTGAAGCCTCCAAGGATATCCCACCGGACACTAGATTTGTGTGTCGTATTGACAGCTCCTAATAGCTGAGTGAGACAGAGCAGGATAAAAGTTAACGCATGGCCATTTAATGCAGGAATTCCGCACTGAGTGAAAACAACAATCCTGAACATCACATCACATTTGATGTCACATTCTATGGTAGGAAAGAAGGAATATTATGGATATAGATTGAGGATGAATAGCATGCCGAGATTCGAGTCCTTTAATGAACTCCAATCTTCCGCCTATCTCTATTCAAAACTAGTTTTTAATAGTAATTGAGATAGTGTATACGAAGCTGCAAAGCCTTAGCCCTTGTTGTGGTCTCCCCAGTGACTGGGGTCACTACCCAACTCCAAAACGGATGAATATCCAGCTAGACACGTATGTACGGCCCTAGCTATACCCATGATAGTAGGCGAGTTCTTGTCCTCGATATGTTAATGATCCAATGTCGTCTCGTCAAAGACATTCTAAAGCCTTCAAATCGAACCAAGACAGTCTTTCCTAAGACAGTAATCTTTACTAATAATCCGAGCTAGAACGTGGGTCGTGGCTAGCTGGTCGACAGTCATGTGTAACTTTGTCTCTCACTGCCCCGCACTGCGAGCCGTGCCGAAGTTTTTGTAGTGCTGCACTAACCTTTCTGGTAGTCGGACGTGATCGAACGGTGGAAAAGTCAAGTTTCAGCTGAATGGGATCACCGCAATTTGCCCAATCATGATCGTATGCAGTGCTCAACATGCATGTCAATTGACATGTAATCCTAAAGCGTAATGTAGATTCTTGCTAATCGCCACCGTCATCCGTTCCAATGACGGATTTGGGCTGAGCGAGGTGCGCCTCGTCCTCTGGCCTCCATCAATTTTAGCACGCTTGAATGATTAAAAGGAGTGATTGACGAGATCTATTACTGTAATTTTGGTTGCCAGTAATCATCGAATCGATGTTACTATTACCAAATACTCCAATGTTACGATATGCTATCATTATTCTATCTTCAGCTATGATTCCTACACCTCGAGTCGCTATATCATAGAGCATCCATCCCTCAATGTCCATACATAAGTTACCTTAGTGTCATATTCCAGCGTCGTGAGCTGCCAGAGTAGTTAGGGCATGGCTGTGACCTGCTGTAACTTGGCAACCTTCAAATAACGTACCACAGTGAGATCAAGCGCATCTCTCAAGAGATGCATCCGGCGGGCTGATGGTAGCCACACTGAATGGTGTCTTAACAAGGAGTGGCTAAATATACCGCCTGAGGAAGTCGCACACGGAGTAAACTCAACCTCGTTGGACAGGATCCGAAGAAGCATTGTTAGCCTGCCAACGTTTCGTGGGCGTCTTGTGAGCAGGAGTACCTCTCTGTTGTATGTGCCTGTCGCTGCATATAGTGATCGCTGACCATGTCCCATCAACCCCCTCACAAAGCTTGTAGAAAGGAGTCTACAATTAAACTCTGCTTATAGACCAGTTATAGTCTAGTAAAAGTCTTTCTGAGTTTCTGAGGCTAGCTGAACGCTTCAAGATCAGACCACATGGCAGCCACAGAACATGATCCAGACGGCCTCGCATCTGCTGACTGGTTTGGCCTGTTGCGTTCGATGACAACGTCTGAACGAATGCGGCCGCAATCCAGTTGTCGCTTATTACCTGTCAGTCGTGACAGTAGCTTAACGATCATCACAGATTGTTGACAGGCGCAAGAAGAAGCCACGCTAAAGAGCCGTGACTTGTTCAATGTTAGATGTAGAAGCTGAAAATAGTGGCTGGCTGATGTCAACTTTTCCGAGAACGGAGACTGGCTGCGTCAAAAGTTTCCACCCACGGACTGTGATGAGGGCTCACAAGTTTCGGTGTTATGCTCAATTGACATTTTGCCCACACGGTAGCAGGGTTTGGTAGCTCTGAAAGCCATACTCTGCTTTTTCATATCCTCTTGCGATACACATATATAACATCCTCTCGGTTGTTTGCATTTTTCCAGATTCCTTGGCTCATTCAAAGTACAGTTTCGCAGCCCTCGCAATACGCCTCATCCTCGTACGACAAGCCTTACAAACATGACAAACACATACAACATTTCTGTTCTCAATAGGTCCGGGTCTGGATCGTCCGGATCTACTCAAGAATACACCATTAGCTACCCGGACGGAGCTTCAACTGGCACCAAGACGTTCAAAGTCGACGTCAATGATTCCAAGCTCAAAACTTTTGACCTTGCAGCTACCCAGGGTAAGCTCAGAAATGTGCTACTAGAGCGATATCGATCATCTGACACAATTCCCAGTTCCCTTCGAAATCAAGTTAAATCCAGGAGGTAACCCACATGCCGCTTTCACTCTTGGCGTGAATGGGGCTGGTAGAACGGCAAATGTAACATCTCAGGAGAATGGTACCTTCGCAGTTGCGATTGCGTGAATCCTACGAAGTTGGGTCAGAGCCAGGGCTGGGGGATGAGCTCGTTAGTCAAATTATGAGGAGGAACGTTAGCTTAGACATATGCATCCGTTACGGTCCTTGCGCAAATGGTAGCTGCGTGAACGAAGCCTGCGATAAGACCCCGGTGTCTGTATGGAAATATGTTGCGTGAGCGACGACGTAGAATAACGTATAAAAGCCAATGCATCTCGCATCACTATCGAGCATAGGTCGAAGAATTATCAATGTCCAAGGGAAAGACTTGCGGCACGCTATGATAGTCCACATTCCTCAACCATCACATATGGTAACAACTATGTATCTCTGGCCCATCCAAGGTTTCTTAGGTCTGTCTAGATGACTTGTCGTGAGGAATTTCTGCATGAATAATGCCTTACGAACAGAATGGCTGGGATTGTTGGCTCCGCTTGTTTTTCTTTTGCCTACGAGTGTGAGAGGACTTGTGCCCGTCAGTTGGCTTGTCATTACCACACAACTGACGGAAGAGAGGCATGACGTCGACTCTCTCGGGGGACAAAGCGACGCCCGCGAATTGTCCGCTTGCCGCAGTGACTGACTATACGGACGCGGCATGAGCCTTCTACTGTATATATCCTTGTCGGCGTCGGCCGTGTACCGAAGTCCAACGGATATATCTCCGAAAGCCGCTGAACATCGTGCTCGATGTCGTTGTGGTGCTGACTGTGTGGTACAGACCTGGGGATGGAGAAGAGGACTATGTCTTCTTGCTCTTTCCCCGTGGGCATACCAAGCTCCTGCCGAGACGGTAGTACGCGGCCATTGGTGGGTGACGTTGCCACATGCAGTTGACCCCGGGCGCCTCCTTCGGTCCTGGTCGGCTACTTTCCAGCAGTCTTTGATGCTCTTGCTCAAAGCAATCCCCGCCGAGAATGTATGTCTCCATGAGAACCGGTCACGGAGGGCTTTATAGCCAAACCCGGCACACGGCAGACCAAATTCCAGATAGATAAAACGAGCATCATCCCCTCGGTTTCTCCTGCTTATTTCTTGATACCCACTACCACCATATTCCTCGGGCTCTCCGCATATTCAAACACCGTCTCGACCCAGCAGTCCCGGACGAGGTCGTCGTGCTCCTTCAAAAACAGCCAGCGGTCCGTGACGATGAGGGACTCGACGACAGTGGCGCTGAAGGCCATGAGACTCCACACGGCCGCGACTTCCTTCTTGCGGGAGGCGTACTCCCTTTCGTACACCTCAATCTCCTCGTCCGTCATATTCGCCATCTTGTCGCGGATCACGTCGCTGTACTGGCTGTACTCGCGGTTCGTCGTCAGCTTGGCTACGGCGCCGCGGACGTAGTCCTTGAGGGACTTGTAGCACGCTTTTCGGAGGGAGCCGATGATGACGGGGTTCGTGGAGGTGTTAAAGGGGGATTCCCTCTCCTCTTCCGTCTGGTTTGAGGTTTCTTTGCCTTCCGTGCCGGTTTCGGCGGCAGCATCGCGGTGGTAGACCTTTGAAATGACACCGCGGTCGAGGAAAATCTTTTGCAGCACCGCGCGGAACAAATGACGCGTGAAGAAGTCGTCGCTCTCGGGCTGCGTCCAGTTCTGCGGCGCCTGACACGCCATCATCCTCGCCGTGATGTTCATCCGTACCCCGTGTCCCTTGTACCCGGAAAGCGTCTCACTCAGGGGGAAACCCTCCGGGTCCCGCCTCGCCGATTCGCGCACGACGCGGCCGTTGAGGGCCTGCAGGCTGGGGCGGGCGTACCCGGCCAGCTTGTAGGTCGGCGGGCCGAGCTTTTCCGTGAGCAGGTTGTAGCAGCAGCCCACGATGGCGACAGAGTGAATGGCCGGGTTCATGACAAGCGAGCGGATGCCGTAGTGAGAGAGGTTTCCGCACGAGTGGATCGAGACGGCCATCATTTTGAGGTCCTGGGATGATTCCTCCGGGAGGACCTCCTTTTCGATGCGCCCAATGACTTCGGTTAGGTCGCCGCTCTCGAGCCTGCCGACCACGTACGAGACAGAGCCCTTCCCCAGCGCGCGGTTGTATCGCGGCTCAAGCTCCTTGATGGGCCTGAAATCAAAGTCCTCTGCTGCCGCTGCGGCGTCGGGCGAGGCTTTCGCGGGTGCCTTCTTGACAACGTCAGTACCGAGCCTATCAGCCTGCATCTGCAGCCACAGCTTCTTGTTGCGCATGACGACCTCCTTGCTCGCCAGGCCTGAGAGCACGTCGAGCCCCTTTGCGCCGTCAATGTTGTGCTCGCGGCCCTCGACGGCGACGACGTGGCGGTTGTAAGGGGGCAGCGCGAGGGTACGGCCGAGGTAGTTTTGGCCGCTACCGAAATCCACGAAATGCGTCGTCTCCTTTCCCCAGCGTGAGGCGATTGAGCCGGCAAGAGAGTCGACGTAGCGCGCAAAATGAGCCACCTCGTGGACTTTCTTGGGCTTCATGCCGACGGCGACGGAGCGGGAGAGCTTTGGCGGGGGTTTACTCTCAGACGTGGTGGGGGAGAATGTCCTGCGAAGAGAGAGCTTGCGGATGCTGCGAATGTAGTTCAGGAAACTCTCTGGCGGGGCGACTTTCATGGCGTCTAATGGCAAGTTATCGAGGTCATCTCGCATGAGGAGGTCCAGGAGGGCGTCGGTGCCGTAGGAGAGAAGGAAGGGTTGCCATTCCTGAGGAAGGATCTGGGAGAAGAGGCCCCTTTCGTTTGTGA